AAAAAAAAAAAAAAAAGATAAAAAGATCATATAAGTGGGCCCCTCCTCCTATCTGGTTTCAGATACTTGTGGTCAACTGTGATTGAAAATTATTAAATAGAAGCTGGGTGTGGTGGCACTTGCCTGTAGTCCCAGCATTTGGGAGGCTGAGGCAGGAGGATCTTCATGAAATTGAGGCCAGTGTAGACAATATTGCAAAACCCCGTCTTCAAAACAAAACACAAAAATTAAACAGAAAATTCCAGAAATAAATAACTCATAAGCTGAGTACTGTGATAAAATCCTGTGCTGTCCCTGTCTGCCCCAACAGGACAGAAACAATATTTTTTGGTCAGGAATCTATGCTGTATATATTCCCCTCCCGTGAATCACTCCACAGTCATCTCAGTTATTAGCTCAACTGTCCTGGTATCGCGGAGCTATGAATTATTTCATTAAATAAGTAACAATTATTTAATAATGGCCCCAAAGTGCAAAAGTAATGATTCTGGAAATTTGGATAAACTAAAGAGAAGACATAAAGAGTTTCCTTTAAGTGAAAGGGTGCAAGTTTATCATAAGTATATACGTACAGGAAAAAACAACATATATAGGGATTACCTGTGGCTTCAGACACCACTAGGGTCTTGAAATGCATTCCCTTGGAGAAGTGGACACTCCTGTCACTTATTTTCTATGGATAAGCATTCTAACCCAAATAAGTCTGATTTTACCATCCCAGCAAGGACTGTCTCTAGTTTGATGTGTGGTTCTAGACAACCTGCGCTGTGTAATTGTGATTTGGACCAGCGCTCCTCACACACAGAAATAAATTTGGTGCAGCTAGCGCCGACGGGAGGGAAGAGCATGAGCTAGAAGACACAGACACAGAGACAGGACCCTGTAACTGAAAGGAACGTGGTCTCTTGAAGGCATCTCACCTTCCTGACTCGTGTTTCCCTTTTCCATAGGGTGGGGGAGTCGATTCTGTGAAATCAGCTGCCAAGAAATCATTCAAGTGCAGTGTGAAATGTCAGGGTACAGACTCCAGAGCAGTGCAGACATTCCCCTGCCAAATATCGGTGGGTGCGCTCGTTTCAGAATCCATGTTGTGCAAAGAACATTTTGGAACGGGGATATTACCTTCACCACTGATTTGTCAGTCTGTGATTAAGTGTGAAACCACTCGGAAGAGGGCCATCCATTGGAAAGCAAAGCAAGAAAGATAACGAGTAAAGAACTGTCAGTCCACGGGTTTTACACATTGTTATTCCAGATTTCAAAACCTATCACTTACACAGATTATTTTTACCAAACATTCTAGAATGCTACCTAATATAGAAATTAACGAATCTATGGCACGGCTATTTAAAAAAATGCAAGATTCCTTTTGGAGGGGGGCAACTCTAACCAATAGTTTGTAGAAAACTCATAACCGCAGGATAGTAAATCACCTAAGCCAATGTTTAAAAAAAACAAAAAAGACTTCGTAAGGACAGAGAGATCTGATGCAAAACATGCTACGTTTAGAAAAAAGGCCTACTCACTAATGAACATGGCCCTCATTTACAGAGCTGCAAATGAGTCTTCACTGCAGCAAAGGCCACGGGGAGCGGGGAGCGCGCGTTCGCCTGCACGCCCATCTCCGGAAACCTGCTACCCCGAGCAGGCCGCTGACTGCCCTACTGTGCGCGAGGCGGCCCTGGACTGAAACGGGAAACAAGGATTCCAGGAAACAGGCTCAGGAATCCCGATGCGATCAAAAGGTGTGCCAGTCACGTGTCTTGGTTGTCGCTTCTGCCCTTTGCCGCGGGGGAATCACTGTCGGGAACCTTAGCAGAGAGTCCCAGCCGCTGGTCCGGCCCCTGTACACTGTCCCCAGGGCCTCGATGGAGCCAATGGCTGCAAAAGCAAGGTGTCCTCTGCAGGCCTGGAAAGACCAAGAGAGAAGGGAAAGGCCGTGCCCGGCTTGAAGAACCCAGGGCCTGTGAGCAGCGCTGTGAACGAGGCAGCAGGGCAAGCGCTGGAGCACCCTGAGGAGAGAGCAGCAGGAGCAGTTCCGGCTCTGCGTCTGGGCTGCTCCGCAAGAGGCACGCAAGGCCCAATTACACTCATAGGGCACGGCTGCCACCACCTCCGCAGAGGACCCGAGCACGTCCCCAGGCCCCTCACACTAACCTGGGATCCCGGAGGCCAGGCATCAACACCACACAAGTGGCCCTCATCCTGACCACCGGAAGGCTGGCGCGGCCCCACCACAGGCTGAGCATAAACGTGCACTCACGCGCTTCCGGAGCCAGGGCGCTTTGGACAACTTCATAAAGGTCAGGTGAGGCTTAAAACTTCTGTTTTCTCCAGCCACGATGCCCTTCTCTTGGAACATCCTTTGTGCCATCTCTGAAATACATCAAAAGGACACAAAAATGCTACTGTAACTATACAAATGTTTGGAAGTAGCAATTGCAATTCTAGAAAAATACAAAGCTACAGAAATGTTGGGATCGAAAATCCTAGGGTTGGGAATTTAGCTCAGTGGTTCCGCCACCTGCCTCACAAGCTCAACGTCCCAAGTTCGATCCCCAGTACCAAAAAAAAAGATAGGATCTAAAATCCTATATAGAAGATATTTATTAAAACATTATCCTGGATTAGCTTCGATTGGAAATAACCATCAATAAAGAAATGTTTGATAAATTAGCATACAGTCATACTAAGGACCGTCATCTACGTAATAAAAAGAATTCATCAGAACTGCACATATGAATCTCAAAATGACAATATATTAGCAATATTATATTTCTGAGTACACAAGCATTACACTACAATGCACAAGTAGAATTATCTGCCATAAATGCAAGACTCACTTTCCAAACACTACTGTAAACAGTTTTTTATTTGTTTTTATGCGAAGTAGGTGGGGTTAGGGGTGGGGATTTAGCTCAGTGGCACTGCACCTGCCTTGCAAGAGCAAGGTTCAATTCCTCTGTGCCACGAAAAAAAAGACAAAAAAAAGTAGGTGGGACTCATGCTAGCAAGGTGATTTTAAGGATAACTGAAAACTACGAAGGCAATCCTCCAGGTCTGGCGCCTGATTCGTGTCTCAGAAGGAGCTGCAGCCCAGGTGGCCTGGCTGCCACCCTGCTCATGCTTCTATCTAACATCCGGGGCTCCAGAAACTCTTCAAAACATACATATTTTCAACACACTATGAGAATGTACACATTAGTTTTAACCATGAGTCCTGCCGGAGTCCAGAGATTACTAAAGATGCACATCATTATAGCCAGAAATACTTGGATGAAACAAAACTCAGCGTTTCTTCATCCTCCCTGAACTCTTCCCACACAGTGCAAGGTTTCAGTTTCTCTGCCTGGGAAGCTAAGATGAAACAGAAAGCAAAGACACCATAGTACCCTTCCTAAGAAAATGAAGGGTTCTGCTAGAAGGTTGGTCCATGGGAAAATAATAAAATAATGAGAATATAATTCATCAAAAATAGCAGAATCTCAAAATGAAAATCCTGGGACAAAAGAAAAACCCCACGAATGCATTTTGTTTGCTGATGACAGATCTTTAAGTGATGTCTCTGATGTCCAGCACTGGTGATAGGCCAGCTGGCTTGGCCGGCAGCGTGAGGGGCAGAGAAGAGAAGGCTACTGAGAGCAGAGAGAAACTTGCAGCGGTGCTGGCACCTTCATCTCAGGGCCCAGCCCCCACGAGGTGCTCACCAGGACTGGCTGGCCTCAAGCTAAGGATCACCCTGATATAGGTTTGTAATTTGCGCTCTGGAACCTGCTCATCAAAATCACCCTAAGAGTGAGCTGTTACTATTCTCACTCTAAAAAACAAAGAAATGAAGCCCAAACTGTCAGTAGCTTACTCAAAAATCCTCAGCTAGGTAGTGAGGACAGAATTTGAACCCAAATTAAACTAATCACAAAGTTCACACTACATGAAGAATCCAAAATTTTCTTTCTCCTTTCTAAGAAATGTTCTTCAAACAAAAGCTAAAGGTAGCTGGGATAAAGGCTTAAACAACAGATCTGAAGTGCAGTCAACAAACTCCAGAGTGACCTCTCATTCGATCAACAAACATTAAGCACCTATTATATGCCAGCTACTATTCTAGGAGGTAAAGAACAAGGAACAAGACACATTCCCTGCCCTTGTAGACCTCCCATCTATGCTGCGTGCCACAAACAAATACATAAAAATAAGGTCAGGAGCTGATAACTGAAAGGAAGAAAAATGCAATCAGGGAAGGGCTCTGAAGTGATGGGAATAACAGGGCAGGTGTGGTAGGTAAGGGAGTCTGGAAATCCCACTGGGAAGATGCAACGTTCGAGCAGACAGCTGAGCAGGCAGACAGGACCACCTGAGCGCACTGGAGTGAACGGCACAGGTGAAGGGACAGCTTCTGAAGGGACTGGACACTGGACACAGCCGCAACTCAGGAGAAAGGAGGGAGTGGCAGGGCACTTGGGGAAGAGTAAGAAATGGCTTAGGAATCAGGCAGCAGCCCGGGGGGACCTGGTGAAGTCACTGGATCTTATTCTAAGTCTGTCTGTCTCTTCTCCCCGGTAATAACAGCAGGCTGAGCAACAGACCCCTGCGAGGCCAAGGAAACACTCTGGCTGAGTGCAACACGAAAGGAATCCACGGAAAAGCACTGGGAAGGCAAGAGGTCAAGGCAGGGAGCCGAGGCGATGTGGAGCCAGGACAACCCTGTCCTTCCCGAGGGCCAGGTCCCACCCCAAGTTACTGCAGCCCCGCCTCTGATGACACACCTTCCCTGAGATGCCTTCCGCATAGTCCTGTCCCCGCTCCAGTTCCTTGCAATGCCTGTGTCAGACCAAGGTCACAACTCCCGCCCTTGGTGTGACGGTCCTGAGAGGCGGTCCAGAAGCCTGTACAGAAGCCGGTGAGAAAGACCAGAGTCCAGCAGGAGCACATTACAAACAGCAAGGTGCATTTGTAACAACTGCTGCTGTGATTAACTTAGAAACGCAGGGCTCATGTGAAGCGTAGAGAGGTCTCTTTCTCAACTACTCTCATGACTCTGCTTTGGTCCTCTCCGCCGCAGCATCTTCTCTAACATCTGCAGAGTTGACATATTGGGCTGAATCACACAAAAGTGTCATCTTTATAGGTCAAAGCCAGCCAAGCACGGGCCAAGTTAGGATTTAACATGCACCAGGGTGGAATGCCTGCATGAGTTCCCAAGATTTGGCTAAAGGGGTTGAGGAATAATTTCTAAATCTTCAAATATCACATAGCAGAGCTTCGGATACCAACTTGGAAACGTGCTTCTCACCTAGGAAGCAGAAGCAGCACAGAGGTGTGAACGCACAAATTCAGTTATTCCGCTCCTTACTGACGCTGCATGTCACGCACACGGACATGCAGGGACACAGAGCACCCTGCTGGCTAGGATGAGCAAAAGTGAACTGACTTGAAAACAGGACTTCGCTTAACAGAAATTAGAATAACAGGCATTGGTACCTTTCTTTACTATCTACAATAATCTGTGTATATTATTTGATATTTATTGGATATAACAATCTTATTATCAAATGAGTCCATAGAAACATTTGTCAGCTTGTTGGTTTTGGTTACTAAAGTTTTGACCTGTTTCCATTATTCACTGGCTCTGAAATCACTGATAAAAGATACCTCTAAAAGGATTATTTGTCACATTTAATTTCTTTTGGTTGTAGTTTCTCAGTATATTTTAGGTACACAGGTATGTATTTTCTAGGTATATAGAAAATTATTTCTGCAAATAATTTCTTAATAATGATTTATGTTTCTACTAGAAGTATAATCTATTGCTTAGCCAGAGTATGAGGTAATGGTCACAAAATATCATTTTTGAGACGAGTTTTTTTGCTAATGTGAAAAACTTCTATCACTTTTCATCTATGATAACATATTCTGGAAGAGAAGCTTATGAATAATTAAAGAGATTATTCAATTCTTCCTAGTAGCACAGAAGTTCTTCCAAGCACAAAACAATTCACACGACAAATACATCAGACATCCTTCAAAAGTCAGCCAAGAGCACTTCCTAACTAACACAATTCATTTCACAGCTGAACAGGAAAGTTGTCTGAAAAATAGCTTCTTTAAAATATATTTTAAATATTAGGAATCTTTGCCATATATAAAAGAATATTGAAACATAAAATATCATAAAATAATAATAGTTTGTAATCCCCATAATTATAACTCTACCTTTTTCTTAGATTTAACATAAATTTTTCTTTCTTTCTTTCTTTCTTTTTTTTTTTCTGGTACTGGGATCAAACTTAGACCCTTGTGCTTGTGAGGCAGGAACCACTGAGCCAAATCCCTGGCTGTATGTATTTTTATACAGGAGATTTTCTCCAAGTGAACTCTTAAAAATGTAGTACCAATAAATTTATACTTAAATTGTAAAGAAGTTGCCAAAAGTTATCTAAAAGTAAATTATAACAGATCCATTTTAATAATATCATGTATTTTAAATTAAGTACCTCTTTTGCAAAGTAAAATCTTCCCCCCTTCTCCTTGACATTTTTCCTTTTCTCTAAAGCTAGAATGTTTACATGATAGCAGGATCTCAAATTTGAGAATAATCACGATCATATATACAAAAGAATGATCACATACTAAATGTAAATTAAGTAGTCCTAACATATTTTTAAATTATATAGTATGTTCTATTTGTATGTCTACACTGTGGATACAACAGAAATAGTTTTACATTAGATTTTAGTCTTAAACACGGATTTGTGAATAAACAACACACAGCAAGCTATTTCCTTGCATGGTCTCCAGTTGGAAGATACTTTCTAACATCATTGTGAGTTATGATAAAAATTATTCCACATACCTCAATAAGATATCAGAGTCACTTTTTAGTCATTTAAACTTTAAATAAATAGATGCCGTAAAGCCTTTTTCGGCATTCCTATTTAAAAGATTCCCATTTCCACATCCTGTCTCAACTGCTTCATCTTAGCTTCAGAAAAGTGATTTGAAATATGTTTCCAAATAAAGGCTGACATAATGTTGACACCAACTTCAACTTTCAAATTTTATACTCATCATTTTAAATAGGTATTTCCAATTGACTACTGTGTAACACTGTCAAACAAAGTCTAAAATACTTCGTTCTTAAAAGCAAGTCTTGAAAAAGCCACACTCTTGTATAAGGCATGGTGTGCCCCGTGGCACGGGCAGCTTACAGAAAACCAGAGTGTGAGTTCTAACACCAGCCAGGTCACCTGGCTCCTGGGGACCTTACCGGACCCGGACAGCACAACCAAGGAGGTCGTGAGAAATCAGCGTCTTTCAGTGTCCTTCTTGTCCTAACAGCCAGTGAGTTCCAATGAGCTGTCCAGAGATCTGCACAA